AACTCGATCGAAATTTCAAACTATAAACAAGAATTTTTTAAAGACTCGTTCGGGTACCTTGTTTCTATCTGACGAGTCGTGAATAGCTCCGTGATAAAAAGACGGAAGTGGTTTGGCTTTGAAGTTTAGGCTTTTTCGAAGCAGCTTAACTTGAGCTTCTGTTTTTTCCTACAAACACCGAAATAATATATATTGTATATGTACTCGAACAAACAGAAATTATATAGAAAGTAAACGATAAAAAAAAAAAAAATACTCGGATTCTTTAGTTGCGAATGAACAGAAAATCGAAAAGAAAAAAATTAATAATAAAAGATTTATTACCTGATTTTTTTCCTGAAGTTGGTGCATTTCAGCTTCTTTTGCATGTATTCTTTCCTCTATCTTCATATCAAACTGATTAATTGAAAGGGTAAATAAATAAAAAAATAAAAACCTTGTCGACTATATATTTATCGTAAACAGGGTTCGATTGATGGAAAATTATCTAATCTTGCCTCTTTTCGTTTCTCGGCACGCTCGTTGCATTTGAAACCGAACCTAGAAGAAGTATCGTGTTTTATGCGCGGCTGAGAAATACTAACTGCAGGCTTTATCCTAAAATACGATTTTATTTACGAGATCAGACAAACAGATAATAGCACACACTCAATATATTATGGGAAGTTTACTAATTTGCTTACGGAACCTGTTTTCACTTTCATGCACTCTACTCGGAACCTTCCGCAACAAAGAGGATCCCGATCGAGTCTCTTCGATTCCTCTGTTTCTTGATTCTTTTTCACCCCTACCAAGAAAGTAATTAAATGTTAAAAAAAAAAAAAAAAAAAAAAAACGATACGCCTTACGAGGGAGGCATCCCTTAAATAACCAAGAAATTTCGATATACCTTTTGATTTCATTGAGTCCTCTCGATTTTGAAGCGGGCTGAGAAAGAAATCCAACGGTGATTAAAGAGAGGTAATAAAATAAAGTATAAAAATTAAGAAAGGCTCTTTCAAGAAACATAAAACAAAAGACGAAAACTTAAAACCAGCATTTGCAAAAGAAAAGTAAGTCAAACCTCGTTTTTCGTGGTTTGGTGCATTGGGATTTTTTCCCGACGAGCGGAAGCTTCTAAACTCTTCTTCTCTGCTTTTACTCTCGTCGGAATTCTGTCGACAATTTTAGTACTAGGTTTCTTGTCCGAGCCTTTAGAAGCTTTGCTGGAAACGCTAACTCGAACCGCTAATCTGGGCTTCATATTCTCAGCTTGTGATGAATTCTTTTCCTGCAATGGTTCATTACACGCAGGGGCAAAATCGTCTTTTACACCAGATTCGAACAATTTAAGCTTCAATGCAAGTACATGCATGGAAAAAAAAACTACAAACCTCGGAAGATGAACCTCGTTGTTTTCCCTCAGTTACACGACTATCAAAATTCTCTGCTTTCACTTCGATCTCTGTTTCCGGTTCCTTAAATTCATCAAAACACGGAGAATGGATTTCGTCGCGATTGATCGTCTCGTCTGAGATGTCGATTTTTTCAGAGGTTTGAAATTCAGTAATCTCGTTTCGACTTTCGGGCGAATTTAGAGTACCCATAATACCCTTGTTTCTAAAACGGGCCTCAAAGTAAGCCTTCTTCTCGATAACTAAACCCGGTTTCGAACATTTCTCCACCTCTTCAAGATACCTGTTATGCGAGAACGACGACCTCCTCTCCCAACATAGTGATTCGTTTTCGAATCTTCCAAACGAGATCGAGCCTGAATTAAATGAAACTGCCTGTTCATTTCAAGAAAGTAACTTCTTCAGTTATAATAATATATTCACCATTGTTTTATAATAAGGGAATCATATTAAAAAAGTTATGAAAAGACGATTTATCGTAAAAATCGGGACTACATTCTTCTTGATTAAGTATAGATGCAGTGAGTAAAAGATCAAATCTAGCAGAAAATCCCAGATCCATAGTCATTGCCAAAATTGCAGTTCATTATAACAGAAACAATAGAAATAATTGATAATCAAGTTTTATATATATATATATATATTAAAAAAACAAATCCATCATATTAATAGGCAACACCGAGTGCCGACAAAATTAAACAATCAATTCAATTTCAGTTAATTTCAGAAGCATCACCACAATACCAACAAAATTGAAAAGGTAAATAAATAGAAATAGAAATATAAAAATAAAATCAGACGAAGTGAGATCCGAAATGTAAATGGTACCTGAAAATCAAGACTGATAGGCTCCACAATTTCACCCGCCATTTTTGAACTGTCACCACCACACCACACCACTGCTTAATTAATTAATTCAAAGGCAGGCATCTACACACAATAATCGAAACCCATCAGCCATAACACAAAAATCCATCATTTTAATCACTCACCATTGCAACAACATTAATTAAAAAAAAAAAAAAAAAAAAACCATCAAGAGAGAGAGAGAGAGAAGAAGTTGGAAGTAGAGAGAGAAACTACACTTACAAAATCAATGAAGAAAGAAGAAGAATAGTTTGGGTGATGTGATTAATTGTGGTGTAAACACAAGAATCGCTTCATTGCTTTAAAAGATGGAAAACGATTAGATTTTCGAGGAATTACAATTTACAATAAAAAGGGGTTGAGAGTTGTGAGAATTGTGGTGAAAGATGCACAACTATACTTGTTACTACTGTGTAATAAGTTTATATATACATATATTATTATTATTATTATTGCAAACTAATTTATTTATTAATATTATTTTTTATTATGTAATTGCATAATGCATACTAAATAGAGTATGTAGTAACTAGGACGAGTGATCTGGTGCTGCAGAGATGCATGACGGATCATGTGCCACTGCTCATATTCTTTTGTCCTTTTCTGTCAATATATATTCTTATATATTATATTATATTATATTAGGGGGCAACCTTGTTGATACGTTGCTATACCGTTAGATTTCTCATCATCGACGGCTGTTAACAATTACATGTGGGCTTTCAAGGATCTCACACGTGGCAGTAAGTTGAGACCCTACGTTCGTGAGAAAGGGGTTTCATCATTGCTTGGATCTAATCTAGTAGTATATGATGAACTTGTGATTGTGATTTGTTTATTTTTTCAAACAAAAGTACAATTATAAATTTGAAATGCTAAATATAGTACAATTTTGTTCACAAGTCATTTCTTTAAGTAAAGAAAAAGGTTAGAAAAATATTAGGGTTAATTTCGCTTACTTTTTTCTGTAATAAATAGAAATGTTCACTTATATATTTTTTATTTTTTCCTATTAAATTCTTCAATTGTCCGCTATATTACATGTTATACTAATTATACAATTTTCTTCTCGGTCTTTTCAACTTTATAATAAGGGGAAATATGCAATAGCCCCCTCA